AAGTTATGAGTGAGGACTTATGATCACTGTACTGTATTTAAGAATAAAAAGATTATACTGAACTTGTGATGAATCCCTTCAATGAAAACTTTAGGAAACAGGATAGGATTTTTCCAGCACCTGCTTTTTGGTAGTGCACACAGCAGAACTATAAAAAATGCCAACTGTTCTGGATCTGTTCATCTGAGATTCTGGATTCATCAAGACAAATTATGCAAGCAAATTCTACCAACACACCGATCTACTGAGAAAATCATCAGCCAGAAATTACTTTCAAAGCAAACAGGATGATACATAAAGAGGTCCAAATGACAAGAGGAAAAAAATAAGTCTTCCTCTTTTCCCCTGAAAAATACTATTTAGATATAAAAGATGTTTCATTAGCTAGTCTGTGTGGTCTCAGAATTTAGAATCAGTTCATTAAAATGCCACTAAAAAAAATTTTCAATCTAACATATTCCACACTGATGTTTCAATTAAAGCACACCATTATTATACTAAAGAATAAGCTTCATTATTAACTGCCCTCCAAGAACTCAGCACGCGAGCACATAGCCAACCCCGAGCAGAATGCGCGTTTCACTTCACACCTGACCCACATCAAACAGTTCTGCACCTTTCAAAGGCAAAAGCTGAAATTGCTGCCATTCCAATCACACTTATTGCACAGTTAAAACCTGAACAGGTGGAAAACTTATTCATTCATTTATCAGCTTATTATTTATCTCTCTCTCAAAAAAAAAAAAGCCACTTTTGCAGTGCTTTTAATCTTAGTGACCTCTGCATGGTGTTATTGATTGAGCAGGTCAAGAGTAAACATGACGTTCATACAAACTCTACAAAGAAAAAGCAAACTAAAAAGAAAACTGAAAATGAGCTGTGTATAGAACAGGAAAGAAAGAGTTTTTAAGAACATCAAACCTTGGGATTTTTTTCTAGCTCTGTACAGAGGATTTTCTGCCACGAAGGCCTTTATAAATATCAAAAGCAAAACAAAACAAACAAACAAAAAAAATCAAGAACCAAAGTTTAACTTACTGCTCCCTGCTGCGTATGCCAACTCTTTCATTCTATAGAACACCTCTCCAGGTTTTTAACACCCATACGCTGTTCAAAGCATCACCTTTCTGTCCCCAAACTTCCTCTTAAGCTGGTCTCTGGTGAACAGTTAGTCTTTCTGCTGGTCCTGGTCCAAAGGACTCCCTCCTTCCCTCCCTCCCTCCGCCTCTCCCCCTGCTTTCCCAGCGGCCGCGCTGGCCTCGGCGCGCGGGTATTTGGCACCGTTAAAATTGAATTTGGGGATGATCCATCCATTTGCACAAAAGAAAGAAAAAAAAAGGTCAATGCCTTTTCAAGATCAATCCAAGTATATCAGCTGGAAATCACAGTAATGCACTGCGGATAACGGGCTTGGCTTGCGACGCCAAGCTGCATTCCACACGTCGGTGCCTTTTTTTAAGCGTTTGCCATCGCACGCTGCCTTGACTGACCTGACCAGGAGTGCTGTGAAGGGGGAGCTGGGACCTCTTCATTGGCTCCTTTGGGTCCTGCTGGATGCAAGTTCCCTTGGCGGGCTCATATCAACCCTCCCTTCTGTTAGATATCATGCACTTGAATACTTGAAGATCCTGCTCATTATATCAACTGCTGCTTAAATGCTTGTCTTAGCTGCCCGTACTACGGTGATTTTTTTCTACAGACAGCAGGGCATCGCAGAAGCTTGCCAGTGTGCTGTAGAAAGGGACCAGCCCTGCTCTCAGCAAAGCTGCCGTCTGTTGCGCCCAGAGCGTTTCCAAGCTAACTGACACCAGACCCCGATGCACCGCTACAACTGCAGGTGCTCACTGCAATGCTGATGACACAGCTCTCCTCAGGACCGAAAACCCAGCGAGCCGAAGCACCCACAAGACTAATCGAGAGGTCCCACTCTGCTCTAACTCTTTACGTTCAGCCAAGCTCCTCTTTCTGACCGCCTCAATAGACTATTGCGCACAACAGCTGGATTATGGGCTCATTAATTACCAGCAATGCAATGTTGTTGTTTTCTCCTAATGCACAATGAAAATTTCATATGACAGCCAGGAACCTGAACGAGGCATCAAGCTTCCTTCCCATCAGTAAGTGCCATGCAACTGGCTCAACCAATACATTCTGGAAGGCTCCAGTGAGAAGGAATTTGCAGCCTTGGAGAACAGAGCAACTGACCACCCCACGCCTGACACAGGGGCGAAATAAAGACATTTATGATATGAAATATTTCATCTGGTTTTATGTGGAGCTGCAGAAGGGGGCTTGTCCTCTCTTCTCATGTATTCAAATGAGATACTTTTCATTCGGGAAAACTGCTGGGTTCATCTGTGTTCACCTTTAGCATACTATTGCTCATATTCTAAGCCAGATCTGTAATCTCTATTTTAACATTAACTCTGTGTAGACATCAAATTTTGACTAGTTCTGTCTAACTTAATCTGCGCGCATACATTCTTCTTTTTCCTAAACTATCTGGTTTGTAGTCACTTGCTGTCACACTAGCCCTGTATTCTCCACAATCTGAATCAAAACAAATAGCAGCAAAAACAAAACACTTCATTTGACCTTGTGTGAGAACAAACAAATCCGAAAAGATTTTTTTTTCCTGATATTTTTCCATTTTTTTTTCCTTTAACTCCAAAGGAATTATTGTTATTTTTATATGTTATTTTTTATATGTTATTTTTCCCCCTACAGGCTTCTACTGCCCTCTGTGGGATTATTTTAAATAAATCACTAGGAACAAACCAATAAGAATGTAAAAAGGAAAGGTGCCAGCCTATCCCTGGCATGCCTATGCCTCACCATACCACGTTCCAGAGATGTCACAGTAATCCAGGGATTCCTATAGACACCTGGGCCTGCCGGGCACTCGCGCTCGCTGGGTGGACGTTAAGGGATTCACGGCTGGTCAAGGCCCAGGGGAGCGGATCGGGTTTTAGAAGGGAAGGCAATGGAGAACCTCGGGGGAGCTGCTAACCAGCACTTCACACAGAGCAATCTCTGTATTTCACGCATCTTTTTACAAAGATGAAAAGGGAGAAAAAAGGCTGTAAGCTATAATTGGCTAATCACCGTGAAGATAAGGAAAAGTTTACCACGGTGCATTACCATTTTGTAAGTATTTTAAGCACCTTGCCAAATCAACTCCAGCCCTCCAGTCCGGGATATGCAGAGCCCGGCACCATTCAAGCGATCAGACCAGGCAATCACTAAGGTCCCTCCCGCCCTTGTAATCTATGAAAGGCTGCTCAAGAACAGTATTTCTAGTCATGAGCACCCAGAACATCTCATCTATGGGTATTCTTTTGCCTGTATATGTGTGTCTCACAACATCCACACAGATATTCACGAATCACTTATTTTTATACAACAGTATAAGAGTTTCAGAGGTTACATGAATCCTTTCCCCAAGGCTTAGCAAACCAACTGCCTCATTTTTGATTGACTAATGGTATCTTTCAGAAAGTCTATGCTATTTATTTCCACAACTGCCTAGGCAGACAGTTTACATGGTGGGGGGAAAGGCCACAGATGCAAACTGCAGCCTTGTGGTGAGGAACAGCTCAGGAGTAACATCCTGACGGCTGCTTCAGTCACAACATCATTACTCGCCCAAAGCAGCTCTGCCAGAACAGGCAGAATTTCTTCTTCTCAACTTTCTTCCCCAAAAACGTGCAGTGGGGCTTGTAGCTGGGCACTTCCCCAGCCTTGCAGAGGGAAGAACGTGTGAATTACCTGCCCTGGGGAGCTCCAACACCAACCTCCCCCTGCAGCCCACGGAGGCTGCTGTGCAGAGGGGAGGGCAAGCACAGCGCACGTCACACAGCTTGGGCAATTTTCCACATGGATTTCGATAGTCCAGACTATAGTGATTTAGTCCAGCAAGCGTTAAGAAGGGAACTAGCAAAAAAAGCTTACTTTTTTTAAGTGTTAGCTGAACAAAAAAGCTTAAGTAATAATTTAAATATTTAAAAAGTGTCTCTGCGCTGCTGTTCTAATTCCTGTGCCTTTTTTTTTTCTTAATACACACAGAGACAAATTGTCAACTGAATAACTTGACCTTTTTTTTTTCTTAATACACACAGAGAAATAACAAATTGTCAACTGAATAACTTGATTGGCAATTTGAAGTATATCGAGGCAAGCATTCTCTCAGCTCTCCGCTTCTTAGATATTCTTAGACTACAAAACTTTAGAGTATAAAGAAAGTGTAGGAGGAATTACTCTGCATGTTAAGTTGTTTGGAAAAAATCCAGTGGGTTCCATTAGTTCCATATCTATACTGGCATCACATAAAAATTTTCATCCATGAAAGTCATTGGAGAGTACTCTGTTCCTAACTGCAATCAACAGCAGGTTGATCAAGAATACATGAAATTAGTAAAGTGATTCCCCTTAACTTCAATGAGTTTTGAGGTTAAGGAAACCCAAGGAAGACTTCCAGCAGGTTGGCACAATGAGACATGATTACTTGCTTTATGTTATGATTAAACCAAGCATTTTTGGAGGAAAACTCAAATGAATCTGAACACCGAAAGTTCTTGACTGCTGGCATTTAACCTTTTTTTAACCAGCTTTTCATCCTTCTTCATGAAGAGCTGTGTATGTGAGAAATGATTACTCACCCATCCTTTCAGGTAATTGCCACACATACTTCTGTACCACCTCTCCTTTACTACCTACCCTGAGGACAGTATTTTTTTCCACTGTAGACACGATAGAAAAAACTTACCCACTTCAATCAAAAGGAAACTATCACGGAAAGTTGACTTGGAGGACATGCCACTTGCTTCAGAATAGGCTTATGAAGACCAAAGGAAGGTTTGACAAAGACCTCTTTGCCAAGGGACACTTAGCGGTTAGAGAGTCTCAGGGCTTCTGGAATGTTACTAAAAAAATCACTTTTTTCCCAGAGGAAAACCACACCTAAGAGACTTTGGGGAAATACCAAAATTTCAGGCACTTACCTTTCTCGTTGCTACTTGTTGATGTTGAGGGGGAAATTCCAGGCTTGGATTTGTCATAATTGTTAAAGCTCTGGCTGCGTCGGTTGTTGGCACTAAGAGAACCACGAGTTTTGGCCTCACTGCCTGCAGCAGACACCCTCACGGTAGGGCCTGGAAGTCTGAGTGAATAATTAAAGTCAGGTGAAATACATTAAAGGAAAGGGGAGGAGAAAAAAAAATGCACCCTTGGAAGGGAAAGAAACTACAAAATACCATGCATGATCTGAAAAGAAAAGGATTAGTACCCCAAAGTTTCATAAGGGACTTGAAAAAGCTGCAACACATCATCCTGGATAAGAAAAAATATACATAGTGAGCAAGCTAAAATGCTTTACAACAGGAGAAAAGGGAAGAAAATCTGTTGAGTGAGATACTTCAATAGCTTTCCTGTGATATTTTCATCTCAAAAAAAAAAAAAAAAAAAGGTCAGAATCCAGTTCTGGAATTCCTGCTTGAGGTGACTAACAGCGGACTTGGCAAACAGGCTACTTGTTTCTACTGGGTGATCCACAGATTATATTAGACTGCTTAAACTGAGCAAAGCTGTCCTAACAGCCCCTCCTCCATACGTGTTTCCTCTCCAGTGATCGTTGATGGTCTCCTGCCATAAATCTGGGGAAGCAGAAACCACTGTGGGAAATTCAATGGGGTAACACCACTTCCAAAAACAGTGCAAGGCTAAGACTAAATGAGACTCCTGTTCTTAAACCAGGCCGCTGAATGGGGCTGTATTTAACCTGGGAGCAACAGGGAGGCAGAATATATCTGCCAGCTTAGCAGCTAGGCTATGCCTTGCAGGGAGCACATTACTTCTGTGCTTTGCAGGCAGAAGGGGAGGACTTCTCCAAGCAGCCCGACACGCTCAGGGAAGCAGCTGGCACCCCCTTTCAGAGCAATGCGTGCGCTTCAGCCCTGCAAAGCCAGTGTTTACACATTCACTTGGAAGGTCCGTCATGTATATTCTGCACTAATGAGCACCGCTTTTTAGTATTCTAAATAAAATACAAAAATTTAAATGTCGGTACCTTTTCAAAATGCATACTGAAGTTCACTAGCTTAGAAGAGTGAGGACAGCCCATCAAAGGCTAAAAGAGTCGGTTCACATCAAACACAGGAACACTGAAGGGGACAACTCCTTGGTGTCCTAGTCTTTGCAGTACACTAGAATTGCTTTAACACTTTTTTCTTTGCATATTAAATTGATGTGTCTTAAACAGCTTGTGCTGGTAATGGCTAAAATGTCCCTGTTGTTGGAGAGCAGAGGGATGCAAAGGACCAAATCATGCCCACAGGAAGGAAGAGTAGCTGGAAAGGCCAGGTAGGGATGCTTCATAAATCAACCAACTTCTCAAAGAGACAGGAAATTTGAGAAGCACCACGAAGGAAAACAGCAAAAGGTCAGCAGCTGCATGCACATGCTTTCAGAGCTCAAAGGGGGACAAGACATAGAGGCATCATTCAAAACAGAACAAAACACCCATTTGTAAATGCAAGGCACTGTGGATGCGGCACAGCGCGTCATGGTTCTGAGGTTTGCCACCTTGCTGAGCTCTTTTTAGCCAAACCCTTCAATTCACCAGGATTTTTGAGGATCGACAGCCCTTCCCAACACTGGGGGGTGCTAGAAAGTTGCACATCATGATCCCTGCAGGAAAACCCGTAATTCCCGAAAAAGCCTTTACACTGTAAAGGAGATTATGGAAGAGGCAGCAGAGGTAAAGCAGGAGAGAAGAAAACCCAAACACTCTTCATAAACACAGTCACACTCTTCAAGGCAAGAAAGCTCAGAGAGGGCTCGTTTTGCCTAAAGGGCAAACGTTTGCAAAGAAGATAGCGTTCCTGTTGCATTTTTTACTCCAGTGTGACTGATTTGGTTTTGGTATCAGGCCTGGGTATCTCACAGGAGTACCTGTGAAATCCAAGAAAAAAATCAGGGAAGAGTTTCTAGCTTCTTTTCCTTTTGCCAAGGAAATACAGAGCATTAAAAAAGGGGTTACAAAGCAGACCTTCCCTCTCATCTTATGAGAAATAAGATGGCAAAAGCAAACCCAAACTATAAAGCAGTTATTCATGTTCTTAACAAAGGCAGATAGCTGGCCAAGTAGTTCACAGATTGGATAAAAATGGCAAATAATACTTCAGAAGCTCAGTAAAACGGTAAAAAACAGCTTACTAACTAATGTAGAACTATCAAAAACTTATCATCCCTAACTTCGCTAATCACAGCCCTAGCAGCCTTAGCACTGCTTGCAAGTGCTGAGATGAGGCGGCCGCAGAAGCTGGTGGTTCAGGAGAAATGGCCTAAAACATGGTTTTCAGGGAGCTGCGTTGCTCCCAGCCCCGTACCAGCGGGCAGGGCAGCAGCCCGGAGGAGCACGGGCGCAGGGCAGCGTGGAGGGCGCCAGCCTGACGCGAGCGCTCGCCGTCGGCACCCCTGCGTACGGGGAACGCCCGGCGCGCAGGAGGGAGAGCACTCTCAGAACCACGGCTTCCTCTCGAGGAGGAGCGTTCACATGGGCACCCAAAGCACAAGAGTTCTCGCTAGCGCAAATGCATTGCACGTCTTGCAAAAAGGGGGAAGGAAAAAAGCCAAAATGGGCCTGACACCTCCGTGTTTTGATTGCTTGTAAAATATCGAGTTGCAACCAAGGAGGTCAATATTTTTAAGGCAAGCCCAAAACATGCATCTGGGGATGTTGCAAAAAGGGTTATTCATGCTTTGCAGAGGATGAAGAAGTGCTAACCTAGAAGACCTTTTCTGACCAAGAGTGAATCGGATGATTTTGCTTTGAGATGAGTCCCTGGGAGATGCACTGCACACAGGAAAGAAAAAGTGGAAGAAAACAGTAAGCAAAGAAGAAACTTGCTTTTTAGCCACTGAAATTAATTACTAGTTTTAGGGAGGGAAGGATTTCCTTTGCAAAGTATAACTTCTGCTCAAAACTGCATGAAATCTGAAGGGAATTAATTTTTATAAAGTATTGCAGGTGCAATTTGTATGCAAAATTCAAACTTTAGTACTCAGTTTCTCATCAATCTTTTACTGCATGACTCACCTGAATCTGAGCAATAGCTCAGCATATTCTAATGAAACATTATGACATTTCTTTAGCGTCTTCAAATATTTTTAAGTTATTAGAAATCCAGTGTAATCCATACAATGGACTACAAGTGTCAAAGTAATATTTACATGATTCAACACCCCTGTTACACAAAAAGTCATAGAAATATGTTCTTATAGTTCATCTTTGCTTTACAGTAATTAGTCCCTATACAAGTCATTACACAGCACCAACGTTAGCTAGCTTCAGTTATACAAAAACATTTGTCCACCTAAATTGTGTTATTTCCCCCTTAATTTGTGTCATTTTAAAACAAGTAAGTCTTCACATCTTAGCAAACATGCGTAAGTGATTTCAGCATTTGAAACCTGCCTACTTACTGCTATTAAAATCCCCACTCCCTTACCAGCAAAGTAGTTGGGTAAGCAGAACGCCATAGGAATAAACACATGCAGAGCAGTAGGGCCTTAAAATTACTTTAATTCTAACTTGCAAAGAGCATCTCTAGAATTAAAGGCATCCGAGACATGTACCCCCTCCCATTACATATATTACGTTCTCCCAGTCCTAACAAACGCCAACTGCCAAATTACTTTTCATGTAGGCCGGCAGCTTATTGTTTCCGACCAACAAACCTAAATTTATTTCTGACTGTTGCCAGCTGTGATGAACTTTTACCACTCCCAGACCCTTGCATTCATCTGGGGGGGCTGTCCTTGTAAATGGAAACTGAAGTCATTTTTCCATATGTCCAAGGTATATATATGTATACCCCATACTAGCATTGATATGTGTGTTTGCCTAGTAGAAGTAAAAGGAATAACTGTGAAAAATTTCCTTAGAGGAAATGGTGGTTATTCTGCTTTGGAGGCATTTTGTGTCCACAGAACTGCGTGTTTCTAGCACCGGGAGCACATTTCAGCACACATTTTGCTCTCTGAAGGCGTCAAGGCAGCACTCAACACATGCCGCGCTTCCTACGCGAGAAGAAGGACGGAAGGTTCCCCACCTGGACTGCATTTCGGGCTGTGCTTTGCACGGGTGCTGCTGTGGTGCCGGGCCCTGCGCCGGGAGGGCGGCCGGAGCGGGAGGCCCCGCGCGCGGCGGCTGCTGCTGCTGCTGCTTGTAGCGAGACAGGCTGAAGAAGAGGCCCAGGATGGCCTTCAGATTCCCATTCCTGATTTCTGCAAGGCAACGGGGAGAAGTCACTCGTCAGCCGTGGCTGCTGCTGCTTTCTGACAGTGCCGCGGGGCGGCCCCTGCCATCCGTCATTCTGTTTAAATAGGTAGTTCCTTCAATTAAAGCAACCCAAAATAACCAGCAAATACACAGGGAATATATTAACAACATCGCAGTGTAAATGATTTCACAGTTCGAAATTTACACGAGGAGAAGAAAGTGCTCAGTTATCACACACCATCGTGTCATTTCTCCTATATCAGACTAATGGTTTCCGTTAAGAAAATGGAAGTTTTGCAAACAGGAGATTTCGTTACTGCTTGGAACTCCTGTATTAAAGTAGATAATTACCAGTTTTAAATCACCACAAGGTAATAAAGAATGGAGATACCCAACGTACCTTGCTTGACAGTGAATGTATACAGTTTTTAACTCCTAACATTCCTCCCACTCTTTCACACAACATCAAGCACACTCACAAAAAAAGAACAAATAAAAACACAGTGATGGAAAAAATATGTAGTTACTAACTCTATCACAATGCATGCACATGAAGGCCAGCTTTGATGATACGGTGTGAACAAACCTTTTATCACGTTTCATTTCCTAAACTTAAAAAGCTGCATGAATAAACAAACTGCTTAACGGTTGCATGTGCTCTCAAAAGCACTTGTGCTCCTAAAACTTACTGTTGCTCCACGCTTTCCAGGACGTCTGCATGGACTGGCGCAAGAGGGGCACGAGAAGCACGCATGGCCAAGGAGTGGCCAGCAAATCCTAGGCTCACTTCTTAAAAATTGGCTCCCCTTTCCCCCTGAACTTCCAGCTTTGAGCACCTTGTCCTCCGCTACACCTTTCCTTCCTTCCTAGCCATTGATCTGGTTTTCCTCCTTCCTCCATTTTGCTTTGGCCCACGCTCATCTCCTTGATGACTTACACGTTATATCTAAGTGGTCCAGTTTACCACCCAGACCCAGAACACCCAGTTTCCTTGTCTCAAGGCCCTGAGTCTAGTTTGGGAGGATGGGGGGATCCGATTAGATGGTAGAATAAAATAGGCAGGAAAAGCAGCAAAAAGGATCTCCCTTTCTTCACGCAGGGACCGTAATTACGCAGGGCAATTGTAAGTAAAGTGGCACTTAGTCCTAAGTCAAAGCGTAACTGAACGTTCCCAGAGGTTTAAAAGAGGAAGCTCAACTGCACAAATAGGGGCCAGAACTAAAACAAGAAAAATAAACAAATAAAGAACAACAACAGCAACAACAACAACAAAACAACCCCCATGCATCTACGTGTTTGAACTTAGCAAAATTATGTGCAATGGGAGACAAGGACTTGCTTGCAACGCAAGGCGCGGCGATTGCAGGCCCTTCCTGTAGGTTCTGAAGTGCAGTATTTCAAGCCACACTGTCAGAAACGGTTCTTTTACCTTGAAGAGCTGAATCACCTGGCAGTTTGCCCGGGCACTTTGGACCGAGAGAGTCCTTCGAGCTCACTAAACCCGGCCAAGTAGCACAGTCTGAGTTGCTTCCTGCTCTAGGCCCCCTCTTGTCCATATGGTGGCTTCCAGGTGCACAGTGACTTCGGTAGGGATGGACATGTAACCATGGAGCCCCAAAAGACTGGTTTTGTACAATCAAAACAAGTTTTAGAAGAATGTTTTAGAAGAAACTGGAATTTGCTTGGAAAAGAATGCATCGAAATCTAGCAACTGGAAATTTCCATATTTTAACATCTCTGTTGCTACTTGTTAACCCACAGCTGTAACTTCTACCTTTGTAGGTTTCCAGACATCCTTTCTTCTACTCTCAAAACACACTGGACTCAGTGGATATCAGGCAAATGGGAAGAAAAGGTAAAGAAAGGAAAGGTGTGTTTGATAGGTTAGATTTTCTATCTTTGCACATTTATGTTCTCCATGATCTTTGAAATCTTCTCAGTGGGGAAACTGAAGGACGGAAGGATTAACGGGAGGGCCCCGGCTTCAGGAGTCTAAGATGTTGCTCTGTACGGGAACGAGGAAGAGCATGGGCACAGGCACACAGCTCACAGGGACAGGCAACAAAACCAGCAGCAAAAGCAAGGGGAGAAGAGAGTTCTCCAGCATCGCCACCACATTTTCCTCAGTATCTACAAACAGGGATTTCAGGAAGATTTGAGGATTCAAGATTTGAGCTGGGAGGGCCTTACTGGCTTCACGTTGCTCTGACAAAGGGGCCTGTCTGCAGCCTACTATGGTCATCAGCAGTGACCACATCCTCACCATATTAATCCTTAAAAAGGACTACACCTGTGTGGCACCTGCACATTGAAACAGCATTTTTGTTTTAATACTTGTGTAGAAGCACCAACTTCCTTGGTGGGGCACTGTTTATTTTAAGTGGCTCTTCGTTCTTCTTGCTCAGTTTCTGCTTCCTTCCTCAACACAGTTAAGGAGTGTCTCCAAGAACAGAAATTTAATTTATCACTGAAATCAAGTGCTAGAAAATTGCATTTTCTAACAAGCTCTCCTTCACTCCCCTGCTCTTTATTTGTCACTCTTCTATTTTAATGTCAGCAGTTGAGCTGGTGAAAATTCTCACAGACTCACAATGATATTGGTTTAGTTTTACCTTCTGTATAGCTTAGTACGTTAGTTCCTAGAAAGAGCAAAGTGTGACAGAAAATAAATGAAATGGCCAAAGCCATTTGTATTGAGACGGGTAAATAATGTGAAATCTGCTTCACCAGACTTACATATATAAAACTTGGGTGCACGATGGTTTCTCCATGCAGGTCGTTCACTGTAGCTTTCCTAGAGCGTATTTCATACGCAGGGATCATTGTCAGTATGGGAGGCAGTTTCAGCTAAGACTTGGTATCATGATCAGAAAGCACAAAGTTCGCAGACCAGCGTAATAAAGAGGAAAGGAAGCAAGCAGAAAGTCCAGAGAAAACAATAAACTGCATAAAATAAAATGAAAACTAAATTAAAACCCTAGTGCAGTTTTTTTCAGCCTCCTGAAAATCCAGCCTGTGAAACAAGCCTGGAAGTAGCCATTTCTGAGCACCAGACTGCCTATAAAAATGTTATAACAACACCAGTAGCTAACTTTTACTTGCATTTCCAGGGTGAAAAAAAGGCACCTGCTATTTCTGAATAAAAAAGAATGACTCCATATAAGGGGACTTCCTTCTCCTCGCATGCAGCGAATGCAGAGTCCTTGCTTGATGTATGTGAGAACGTATATATGTTCTTAACCCAGGTACGCGTGGCAACCCCACGTAACTGCAGCAGCTCCTGCTCGCGGTGCGCAGCCGCGGCCAAGAGGGGAACATCCCGCGTATCCCACGTTCCCGACCACAGGAGACTCGTGGTTGTCCGGAGGCCCTGTAGATTCATGCAAGTCTTCCACTTTCCTTCTTGCTTTTTATTTTTTTAAGGGGGAAAGGTCATTTTTTGACTGTGATTGCATAAGAATAGAGACAAGGCAAGCTAGGGAGTAGATCTTAGACTATTTAGAAAAATGAAAGAAAATAAACGCCTTTTTGCCTACACATAACAGAGAGACATTCTCATTAGCCTCTGAATATAGATTTTTTTGCATATTTACCAGCTAATCCAATAAAAAGTATTAGCCCACTTTTATATGTTTCCTCTTTCCTTCTTTGTTTAGGTAATAGAATTCTTTCAAAGGAAGAAGTTATGGCTTTAAATAGCTCCTGAACACAGCTGCTTTTCCAGCATATGGAGATGAAAGAGCAGGTGAGAGCCGGAGCACAGATCTCACTGGCATAAAGGAACTGAGGACTCTGAGCCATACAGAGTCTTTAAGGAATCCTCATGGACTTTGGAAGCAGCCTAACTGGAGCTCAGGAATTCTTTTGTTTGTTTGTTTGAAACATTGGGATTTTATTGTGTCTAAAAAGAAATCAAACAAAAAAGGAACAAAAGCAGGATCATTTTTTAGGTAGGAAGGTAGTTAAACAATGAGGAAACAAATAATTGCTCTTGCAAAAGACAGGCAACCCCCAACAATTCATTTTCAGTGTCTGTCTGCACTCTAATCCATGTGTCAATTATGGAATTTAGATGAAAATGTTCTGACTTAACAGAAATAACCAAGAGTGTCTGAACTCTAATTCGGCTATTTGTACAAGTTCGCAGTGCACATGTTCGCTCTTACCTACCTTTCATATTGAGATGTGGGAAAAAAGGAGTAAACAGCAGAGAGAAAGTTTAAATTATTCATATTAATTACAATCTGTCCTTACACTGCATATTCGGGTGAAAATCTCAAGCAGCAAACCAAGTTTCTCATTTAAAAGTGAAGTTTAAACAAGTGACCGGCTCACCTTCTGCTGACAGCCCCTGGATGTTAATTCCTTTTGCAGCCAGGAAACTGAGGCACGCATCTATGTTTTCAATCTGTTGAAGAACAAAACAAAACAAAAAAGGAGAGACAAAAAAGAATAAGTGCTTTAATAAATGTTTAATCTCCCACCATGTTTTATTGCACTCAGTCTTTGTGCCACATAAAAAGTCCCTTTGCTCGTAACGCGGAAACCAAACCACTAGGAAAATACCTAAGTTGCTATGATATCAAATGATCCAATATTACACTGATCAGGACTTTATTATTTGCACTTGTATGAAGCAAGTTAGTTCATACTCTTATCAGCAAAAATGATCCCTGTATATCCCACTGAAGGGTCAATGATGTTATGCCAGGATTTTTCACCCACAACGATCATGAAACCGAAAATAAACACGGGGCCCACGTTTGCTGGGGAGGGCAGACTGCCACTTGTCCTGAAGCTCACAGATGGCCAAATTTCCAGCCACCAACGCAGACAAATATGGGGGCTGTAACTGGAAACCCCCGCTGGAATCCAAGCCACGTTTCAGCGCGAGATTCCCTGCGTGGCAAAAAGGACAGACAACTGCAGGTCCTCGTGACAGGGCACCAGGGAGCTGGTGCAACTGCACTGTGCTGGGTGGGATCCCAGGATCATGGAATCGTTATGGACGGAAAAGACCTTCAAGACCATCGAGTCCAAGAGTCAGCCCTTCAGATGAGCGGATTGGAGCCTGATGGGGTCTGCACAACATTGCTGAACGACGAGGGCAGCACCGGTGATCTGCAGGCTGGACCCCAACCCCGCTCCACAAGGCCAGCCCCAGAAACGCTCGAGGAGTTGGGCATCTTTCCCCTCTGTCTTGGCATCCCAGTGGAGATAGAGTGCTTCATGCCTGCTTTACCACCTGGATGCCTCCAAAGCTCTGCTGCTGTGTTCAGAAGACGCAGAGCTGCGGGCCTCCCCACACCAGGGAGGATGCTGGCCTGCATCCCTTCCCTTCCCCCGTGTTCAGTAACCCTGGGCAATCAACTCTGAGTAATCTTCTGCCTTCATTAATATTTACGTAGTAACACGTGTGATACTAAGAGTTATACGGCAGAATGGTAGGAATAGGAGCAATTAGTTCATTTTTAAGAAAAAATAAGAGTTTGCAAAGGAAAAAGAAAGAAATCAGGGCAAGTTCAGGAAGAAAATAAAACGCAGAGCGCAGGTCTACAGCTGAAGTTATTAGAACCTGGAGCTGGCAGAAGTTCAAAGTGCTCTTCCTACAGTAACGAGCTGGTGTCCTGCGTGCCCAGCTCCCGGCTCGGTGCGAGCTCAGCAGGGCCCTGCAGCCCGGCCCCGCGGTGACGCCGGGCCCCGAGCGCGGCTGCGGCCTCCGGCCTCGCGATTCTGCAGCAGGTTCTCACGGAGACCCCGCGAGCCCTTCCTGGGCCAACCCACACACTGCTGGAGCCCTCCGAGCAGATGTGTTTGCCAGGGCGACGCGTGTGTTTGCTCCCTCTCCGGGGGCTGTGACTGCTTTCTGGCTGACAAGTCGGATTTCTCATTTCCTCTGCCAGCGGAGGCAAAGCAGGAGAGATGGCAGGTCGTTCCTACCCGAAAGAGGGGGGAAAACGTGTGAAAAGAGAAAAAACGCAGCACCAGATATCTGCAGTGCTCATCTTACTGCAGCGCGCTGCAGGCAGGGCAAAACTGAGCAACTCCTTGCAACGCTCCCACCCCAAAGGCATCCAAAACCCTGCAGTTGTGACACCCTGCCTATGAAATGTTTGCAGGATGAATGCCACAGCACAGCACCAGCTTTACCCCACGCAAGGCAGTTGTGTGCTCTGAGCCATCCCTAAAGCAAACGCCAGCCTGAGCGCCGCTGTCTCTCAACCCCACGGGCCTGCCCACCCGCAGCAGCAATTCCCTCCCCATCAGCGCCACAGGAAACGCTCCCGCTGGAAACGGTTATCAAAAGGCAGCTGGGGGATCGGGAGGGAAGGCAATGCTCCCTCGGTGGTTTTAATTGGCTCCTTAAAGCAACAAACAGAGTTTATTTGGGGTCCCCCCTACACATGCAGTTCCTTTCACTACACACAGTATTCCCTAAGGAAACTCATGCACATGCTTCAAACCATGGAAGGGGTAGTTATTTTTGTTGCATGAGTCTGAGTGCCAGCCTCTTTGCAGAAAAGCAGGATTAGGAGCCAGTGAGCACCTATATCTCTTTTTATTCCCTCATTTCTAAGTGCTTTATAAAGGCGGGGAAGCAGCAGGATTCCTACCAGACCTACACGCTCCTCACTCCCTCCCTGCTTTGGCACATGTGGAACTTACATGCACACAAATTTAACCACTTGCTCCTATTCCTGTAAACCGATCTAAATACGTTTATTTAATCCTCATTTCACTGTTACTTTCCCAGCTCCATGGGCCCTCTGCTCGCAGAAGGACCTTACGGTAATTGTGTATTTCTGGCAACACGGGCGCAATGCCCAAGGCAGAGCCGGTTCTATTCCGATCCCTGCTAAAAGAAAAAGGAGCTGGGAAATGTGCCCAGGCCTGCTACAGCCGCCTAGGGCACGTCAGAAACACAGCAAACGCCCCAAATCCCCGAAAAAACACCCCCGCTGCTCGTGGTGCAAACAGGAGCCCACCCGTGGGCACTGACGGATGCTGCGTATCGGCTCCGTTTGCCGGAGATGGGAAAATGGAAACGGTCCAGACGCAGAGCCGTGCAGCAGCTCCGCCAAGGCAAGCAGAGCGGCGTGGATCATCAACTCCTTGGGACGTAGCCAGGTGTTGTTCTCAAAGGAAAAATCAAAATTAAACTTATCACTGTAGGTGCCCTCGCTTAGAAACCGCACGAAGCGCCTGATTATTCTCCTTACTACGAGGAACATCGTTACTGGAGCGCAAGAACTCAACCCCCAACTTTCACTGTGGTTTTATGGCTGCATTTTTATGAGCTTACCCAGAAAAATCACCACTCGCACTGAAACCAGCACTTTCCTTCTGACTTAAGACTCCATGTTCTGTCCGGGAGATTCATTTTCAAAGCAGAAAAATAAAGATTGATTTCACGTAACTTGAAAAAAAAATTTGCAGACTCTTATGCAACATTGCAGTGGAGTCCACACACAACCCAGAAGCAGCAAAGAGTGTAATGCAAGCAGTTCTCAGCAAGCTCTTTCATAAGGCAAAATGCATTTTTTTGTCTCTGCTCAAGATCCTACGTTTAACACTTCTACTTCATAAAATTAATTCAAGGAAACTCACAGAGTAGAGGAACTCCCCATTTTGTCACAAGGTTCAACTCAATACAAAGTTTTGCACCAAATATTGCCGTGTTCTATTTCCTTATTAAATGGTCAATTACAAAAACAAAACCATCGAGCAATCAGAGACATGTTTTAAATGATACAAATGAACTGTCGTTCGGCCTCACAACGATATTGCACCTTTATATGTTCTATATCTATCTATCTCCCGGTACAGGCAGACGTGTCTCGCTTGAGGGATGCTTTACGGTGCCCTACGGCACACGCTGGGCCATGCTGGTCCATCCCGGTGCTGCCTAGCTCTGTTCACCACGTTATTTCCTACCCACGACGACGGGCTTCTCTCTGTGCTCTTGTTGAGACTGCCAGCTCTGCCAAGGAGGAGTCCATCATCCTGCAGCGCCTGTGTCACCAACACTGATAGATACAAAGCAAGCAGAATGGCCTGAGGACAGACGCGAAGAGCCGTGCCCACCAGGCTCCCTCCGGAGCAACACTCGGCCGCGAGGAAACGGCCAGGAAACATCTCCTGCCGCGGCCACGAGGTGCCCGTTTGTTACTGCAGGTAAATGGAGCAGGTTGAAATGCTAAAACTGCCCCAGCAGCAAGATACAGACTAACTAAAGTGGGGCAGGGTGGGGGAAGGCTTAACAGGAGGCACAAAAGTTCCCTTTACTCCATTTCTCAGAGCAGCCTTGGAGAAGTTTTACTCGGAAGTACACGGGTATTTTTAACCGCCGGGATACGTTTCCAAAAATCCCACGCTGGGAATTTGCAGAGAAAAAAAAGAAAAAAATGCTTGTGATGCTTTTGATGTTTTGTGCCAAGCTGTTTGCCGGAATTAGCAGCAGGATTCTGGGGAAGGGAGGCCCAGGCCGCGGGAGCGGCGCGGGAGCAGCCCCTGCAGCTCCTGCAGCGCAGGGGAAAGCCCGTGGGTAGAGGAGCCGCTCCAGGTGGATGCCGGTTCCCCGGGAACAGCGACGGACAGGGATGAAGCACAAGGCCTGCTCCTCACACGGTCCCTGCCCTCCCTCGTCTACGCTTACTCATCCACGCTCTTTAGGCATGGGCCATGGCACAGCAGCATTCACACCAAAGCCTTTTTGTGTGCTCTTTGCCTCCAGAGCACCCCAGAACACGGACACGTAGCAGGAGGTGGCGCTGGCGAGGGTCACCCTGAGGATGGAAGCGAACTACCAGCTTTAACGCGTCATTAAAACTCCTGTTGCTCACCTTAAAAACAGAGGCTCCACCAGGCTGGAGAATTTTTATACAAACTGTGTTTTGACTTGGGTACCCAGAATACACGCCAGGACCCTTCCAGAAAATGACAAGAAAACGGTCGCATAATAAAATAAAATACAGCTGCCATCATTGGAATAAGGTTTCTTTGCAAACGAAGAGAGCATATAGAAAACGATGGCCTTAGTGTTGCGTTCTATAGAGTTCTTGGGAAGAAATGCAGAGCCTGGCCCATGCTGCTCTAAGGGATTCTTTGTATTTCCAAGATAGATGATCAGTAGGAGAAAAGACTGAACAGTATTTTACCAGTATGGCTCAATATCTGCATCAGGAAGGGGCAATTCTTGAAAAACTTTCAGGTGACCCCGCAAAAAAGATACATACCTCCTCTTTGCTCCATGCTAGCTTCATCACGCACAGATACTTACGTTCACGTAAAGTGATCACTCTTAAAAATAATAAAAAACAACCGCGAGCACCACACAAGAACCACAGTTATTTCCTAGTCTATTTATAGGAGGGGACTGTGCTCTTGGCTGGGCCTGCATTCCTTCCTGTTGCTCCAATTTGTGGTCTTGGACGCCCCGTAACTTCCCCAGGCTAAGCCTGGAGAGAGCGGAGAGCCTGCTTCATCCACCTACAGATTTCCCCACCTTTTTTCCCCTCACCATTGACAGGTTTGCTGTCATTCCACTCCACTTCTCCAACTCCGACACTTAGCATTTTAGTTCTCTCTAGAGTTCTGCAAAACTTTTTTTTTTTTCTTTTCCCAACCTTGGAAAAAAATGACTTTCTTTTCTCCTTACTCTTTTCTCATACTTTTTCTTAAACATAGCCAGATGTTCCTTATCTCCTTCCTCTGCCACATTCAGTATTTCTTGGCTTTGTGCTCAAAGTGGAAGAAAAGCTCTACCCTTCCTAGATGGCACACTGTTTTCTGCTGCTTCCACCCCGTCCAACAGTCCCAGCCCCTGCAGTGCAGCAGCTGCCCTGTGTATCTACCAATACATCCCTCAATTATCTAGCAGCTCCCCTCTTTTTTGCCTTCAAGTCTATGCTTTACAAATCACTTCAGCATTTTATAAATGCAAGTGATATGAGCCCCTTTGTAATAGGTTATACTCAGCACTCATGGAAATAGCCACACTAGTGAGAAAGACCTACGCTAGCTCCAAGATAAGATACGAAATTCTACCTCCTGCATAGCCCAACTTCTGCAGGATGATGAATGCAGAGCTCTAATAATATCCCCAGCAAAAAAATCAACTTTTGGAAAGAAAAAAAATCCCTACCAAAATCAATACCAAGCAGTAGTGACAGAAAGATATCCTTACTTGTGCTTATTTACAACTGGCTATTCCAAGAATGGGTAGAAGAGGAAGGTGGTTTTGTTTTAGCCTCCTTTCTGCGCTTTTCAAGAAGCGAGGCAGTAATTGCTCATGCTTCATTCTGCACAGCAAAAGGCAATTGTGGTAACAGTCTCCAAATTTTCTTGGCTGCGGAACCTATGCTCCGTACTACTACATCCTCAGCTAACCACAGGATTGAGTGTGTGCCAGCTGGAACTGGTCATCACCAGTATAGGCTTTTCTTTAGAGAAGTACCTACAGCACAGAAACACAGAGGACCCAAGGGTTTACGGTTGGACTCGGTGATCTTGAAGGTCTTTTCCAAATATAATGATTCCATGAAATAAACCAACAAAGCACAACAAAACTGGGCAGTCATATATTAGCAGGAAAGTGCCTCAAAATGCAAAGGGGGGAGACTGCCAAACCTAAACCTACAACGTGACTTACATTCTTTTCCTTATTCATTCAATATTAGGGAGGTTGTCCAGTCCTGAATGAAATTCAGTTCTTAATGATCCATTCATGCAACATTACATTATAGGAATTGTCAATATTTTCCCAATTATTCATACTGTACATGGACAGCTGCTGTGGTTACAGCAAGAAGAGCAACCAATCTCTTCAAAGCAGTAAAAAGCAGCAACAATAAATCTGTTTAGATGGCTTGCTTTTGAAGGAAGGCTCTCTCCATAGGCCTAAGGGAGATAGATAACTTCCAAGAGAAAAACAGGGCAGTTTCTGCCTTAAGATGACAAACTCTTGTTAAATCTTTATTTCACACATCAGGGGCATTAACCAAGACCTGGGGATGGGGCAATTGGGAGAGGATTTAAAAATGAAAGGCACCAGAATAGCTTTACATACTGAAAAGATATTAAAATATCCCAAATTGAATATGTGGGATGCAAAAATTCTAGAATTTAGACAGTAAAATTAGTTTTGTCACAAGGTAAAAAAACAAAAGGCTTCATTTGAAATACCATACATTTTCAGAAATCCTCAGTTTCTTCCTACTTATGTTCTCAGTGAAGTTCTGCCTATAGTCTTATCTTCATCAATACTCATAGCAGAGCTACACTTAAAGTAAGATATGCTTTTATTTTAACGACACTATGTTTTTTCTTCAGTTTCAAATATTATATACAGAAAGATACAAAATAGCTTATTTGTCAAATTAAATCAGTCAAAAAGAAGATACATAATTAAAACAGATCTTGAAGCCTGCAAATTGGATGTGAGGGTTTTTATTATTATTTTTATTTAGTTAGCAAGTTTGGGCCATTATTTTCAAAAGATAAAGGGATCATAATACATTTTTAAAATGTATACCTAATTCTGTTTTTGCAATGCTATTGTCTGGACAAAAGAGCAGCATTTTAGTTTTATATATTCTGTTTAACTAAGTGATATTTCAGAAAAATAAAATACCAAGGTAAGAATAGGTGCCATTGTAAGCACACGATTAAATGCTAAGGCCTAATTCAATCCCTGAGGAATACAAGGGGGCAAGAAATGCAGTGTTAATGCTGTCCTGCAGATTACACCTTGCCTTCACTAGTGTGAGGAACTACACTGCAAATTGTTTCTAACAGTCGCCCTTAGTCACTTAAGTCACATGTGCTAAATGTTCAACCACACACACAAAACAGACAACTTTCCCACTTACCATTTGAGATCTGTTTTTTGGGCAGCCATTGATGTCTTCAATCTTTTCGTTTGCTGAAAAGCAAATACAGAAAGTAAAGCACAAGCTACGCCAAGGACATTTATGGCAGTTATTTCCTGAGCACTTACTGCTAGCTAAATAAAGGGGTTTCAGACCGCGTGTTCCGACGAAAGTAAATGTGTGAAACACTGAGACCAGCAAGAAAAGCAGCTGGACTTTGAGTGGGCCAGGCCTCCAGAGACAGCTGGGGTCGGAAAGCAACCGGTC